TGCTCTTTGTGCGCGCCTGCCTCCCTGGTCACGTGGTGCGAGGTGTTTGAGCGCAGGAAGCGCCTCGGATCACCATCCGCACCAGCAGCTATTAATAAATGCTGCTGGCAGCGACCAGAACCAGCTGGGTTCGGCTCAGATGTTCTTCCTTCCTGATGTTGGGTCTCTGAGATCACGTGGAGCTCATGCTGAACACCTGACTCACTTTGAGCTGCTCAAATGAAGGATTTAGTTTCCTCAGGGTTCACTGTCAAGACTCCTGAGTTCATCAATGCATTTACCAGTTCTGCTCTGTAATTATAGAAATATGTGACCAGCATCGATCCAGTTGTTTTAGTTCTTGGTTTCGTTTGAGTTCTTCTTTTCCATCATGGATCACTTCAGACCCATAATGGTAATAATAATAAAATGGAATATTCTTGTCAGAGTTTTAGCCAGAGATCATCAGACTCACAGCTGAACACACCAAACTTTAGCTTGGTGTCTGTAAAAGTGGATGAGTTGTAGCTGTTCTTGTGTTTTGGGTCAGTTGGCTAGATGCCATCCTATAATACTTGCTAAATGTTTTATTAAGATCCATTATTGATGAGAAATAAACATAACAGGCAAAATCATTATCACCCACCTTCGCCTTCGGCAGCAGGTGGCAAAATGTTCACGAATGAAGACATTAAAATGCAAAAAAGTGTCAAAAGTGGTTCAAAACTAAAATGTGATTTTTAAGTCAGTCAACATTATAAACATCAAAGTTCATGCTCAATAATCCAGGTATAAATCCAACAAAATTAAGTCAGGTCATCTGGATGGCTTCTTTTTTTTTTTTTTTGGTGAAAAATGTTGTCCTGCATCCAAAGGACTTCATCAGTCCGAGGAGCCACAACAAACTCAGTCTCACAAGCAGCACACTCACATAGTGGACCAACCAGTTTGATGGTGATAAGATGGTTGGTGTCCTCCCTCTCCCCCATCAACTCCTCTGAGGCTGCCATGGCCAAAGTGGTTCAAAACATCAAAGTTCATGCTCAATAATCCAGGTAAAAGAAATCAGCGTTATAAACTTGTTGGAAAAGAACAAGAAAGAAAAAAGATAGAAATAAATGTTATTTTTAAAGCACACAGTTTTCTAAGAAAAAATATACATCTTTAAAAGTAAATATATATATATATATAAAATAATACAGATTAAAAATAATAAAAAAAAAAAACTGGCAATAAAATACAAAGATGTGATCCTCCTTTAACACATGATCAAAAGCTTTTAAGACAACTCTGCGTTCCCACTTATCAAAAAAAAAAATCTATCTATCTATCTATCTATCTATCTATCTATCT